TATATAAGGAACACACACATAAGTCTGGGAAATACATACCGCCTACACGCAGCGAGACATTGTGGGTCCGAACTTCCCCAGAGTGGAAACTCACAGAGCACAAATACTGTCCAGCATCCGTAGGAGATAATCGCGAAAGCTGCAAACTTGCTGGGCTGCTGAGCGCTGGAAACAAACAGATAGATATAAGTGATTATTATATCCAATAGAAATCAAGTAAATCATAACATACCTGCATCTGCCACTCAGCAGTTCATTAACGACTAAGATAGTTTCCCATAAATGATTACGAAAAGACGTGTACGTAGGTACGTAGGTAACTGCTGCTCTCCGTATTTTGATTTGATTTTTTCGTCATCCAACGAAAATGTTGTTGGCTTTCATGTTGCTTAAGGTGCTCACTATCTAGACAGTAAGTAACGAGTAGTAAGGTAGCAATATGCTGTTGACTTCATCGCTGGAATTGAACTGAAGCCAGCGACGACGAACCGCATATAAGATTTGAATTTACGCGCCTATAGCACGCCCGTTAGCAAACGAGCTTACACAGTTTGAGTTTTGTGGTTTATCGTTATCTACAGTGTCATACTGTCGGGTTTTTGTAACTGTTGATACAAACTAGTACTAATAATAATCGCTGATTCTATTAGAAGGTTTGCAATCCCGGCAAAAAACGGACTGACTGCTCGATATGTAGGTGTGTACCTGGAAAATATAGTTCTGCTTCGCGCATCGCCGGAGGCACTTTTCAAAGTAGATATTCGCTGAACGAAAATTTGGCAATGCCTTTTACTAACAATCGGTAACGCTCTCTGGTAGAATTAGTAAAACCAGAAGACACTTATGAGACATGTGATTCGTTCACGCTCGTCGGTTCCATATACTGAACGCTTGCGGGCAACGAAGGCAACGAAGAAATTTTCCAGTTAAAAAAAAATTTTGAAAATCGTCATGAAGCCTCTCTGATTGTTAGACGAAGACCTTCCCCCTGAAATCTAATTGCTTGCCTTCGATTAGAGTAACGCGCGTCGTATCGGCTAGTTGATTGACTGGCATTAGAGGAAAGCCGTACTGCAACCGCAAACCTATTAATGTGTGTCTACCTGCTAATGCTTCCTTGCCTGCCCTGTTTTCAAATGTCGAAGGCATTGAACAAGTGCTACTGAGTGAGGAGCGTGTTTCTAACGTTAACTGCTACAGCCGCTATGGCAGCACATGCATGAGACATGGCGCGGCTGTTGCCTGTACGGCTCCTGGCGCTGTTATTGACGTCGGTCTTACGCGCGTCTAAAATGTCAACTGTCCTAGACCCGTTGAAAAAAAAAACACCCCAATTTACCGTCCAGCCAGTTTGTCCTTCGCGAGAACTTTGTTCTGTTCGTTTCCTGTATCCGGCTCCCCGCGCCGACTCCCATATCTTATCCGTGGAGCCTGGAGCATGAATCACGAGAAAGGAAGGGTCGCCGCTGCTGCTGCCACGTGCGTTCACTTATGCCAGTTTGTTCTGACAAGCAATAGGTATACATATTTGGAAGAATACTTTTGCGTCCGTCGCCAACAGCTGGCAGAGATGCAAATAAAAGCGTGCACGCAATGGCTGTATGCCGAAAAGATACACAACATCTGGCAGCATTAGATGTGTTGCGCTCGATTCTTCTTGGACATTTTTATATGTACCATTATTGTAACTAACTTGACTCATAACATTTTCTTGTTGTCGGTATTTTTAGGTTGAAATAAATATGAAAGGAACACAGTACGCTGGGATGTTGAAGAAGCAGATTTTTTGTTGAGCTGGCAGAAACTACTGGACAAAATAAAAGAACTTCTTCGAAATATTTCTAAATCGCGATAGCTAACACGTACGTCTTCATTGTGTTATTTCTTGATTTTATATCTCCTGTGTTATGCGCCGAAAAGCATAAGATAAAGGGGAATGCTTTGATACTATTGTGTACTACGAACAGGAAATGGATTTGTAATGAAGATTGTTTCAAGGTACGTCCATGACCCACCACTAATTTCTTGGCAAGTGCAACCCTTTGGAAGGGAACCGCATGATTCTTAAATATTATAATTTTACCAAGAAGTTAGTGAAGTTCGTACGGATGTTTGTTTTAGTGTAAGAAGCTAAAATGATGGTGCCGAGTGCGGAACTTAGCTCGGCGCTTAGTTACCCGCTAATTAAAGTAAAAGCACGGTTGTTGAATATATCGATCAAACTTTGAGGACTGCAGCCATGTTTCTGTGTATTGGCTATAGTGAAAAAGTATTGTGAAATAGCAGAAAAGTTCGTTGATGCTTATTTGCAGGACTTCAATTGAACTCCAGTCAGACGCCATCCGGGCTGCTGCCGGTGTGCACACATATGAAACCCAAATCAGTAAGTGGTCAATATTACTCTATTGGGAGACAACACACAGCAGTAAACCGAAACAAAAATGTCACAAGGTCCTAGATCGACCAGCGCCCACCTGAGATTGCTAGACTAATGTAGACATTAATATTGACAATAACCAATGAGACGAATCTTTGTTTTTTTTTTATAAAATAAATTTTCTACGTTATATTTTTACAGAAGTTTTAGGCGACGGTATCTATCAAACTGCGTTCAGAACACACAAAGAAGCATAATCACATCCTAACTTTCTGACTGTAGCTCTGTGTAAATGCTGCACAAACAATTGCCAACTGCTTGTTTATCAGTTGATAATATAGACACACAGATTCGAATCTTCCTGATTTGTGCATACTTATGCCTTACTACTTACTTAATAAAGCTCACCTACCTGAAAAATATGCTTTCCCGGCGAAATCCACCGATATATCGTGATTGGCATTCCAGATGCCTCTCCGCTGCGCATCCTCCAGAATGTAGAAGGGGGCCCCATCCGACGAGTTGTTCAGATGAAACCATCGGACGAGTACCGGTTCATCGGCCAGTTCAGAATCAATGTCGCACGGAAGATTGGCAGAGCCGCCAGCTTCTGCTGATACGACTAAAAACAAAACAATAACAACGAAAAGACAAAATCATTATTATTTTAGTCTGTCAATCATGCGGTTTGATTTTGGGTTACGACTTGATGTTACGCTTTCTGGCGTTGGGCCAGTACCATTTCCTTCAGAATCATGTATTTAATTATTTTAACGATATCTGTAATAATGAAAATGATTGATAATAAATAAATAACAAACTATGCGTGTCTGTATAATCCTATACGCTGACCGAGGACCCGAGGCTTTACACGAATTTCCTCCTTGAAGCCGGCGATATCCCTGCTACTGTCTTTGATCGCAAATTAATCCTCATCAAAGTTCTACGACGTTACTTCATATTACATGTCTAAGCCGAAATATCCGGATAGACGATTCCCGTCATTTGAGTGAATGTCGGGTCATATTATGGAAGCAATTCTCTCAGCGAAGTCAGCCTACCGTTGTGAACGACCTCGCTTGGCTGTACTGCGCGAGCAGAATCACTGAAATTGGTTCAGCTAAACTGATCTTCGCATGATTTGCAACGGATTTGTTTTAGGAGGTCCATGTTCTTTTGTGGATCCTGTCAATCTGCCAAGAAGGCAAACTGTCGAAGGCCGATAGACACATCGCTTTCGAAACTACAATAAATTCTGGATCAGGCCCACAGCGGTTCGGAAACGAACCAGCTAACAATCGTCGTTAAATTTAAATAAACAAATAAATAAAATAAACAAAATAAATAACCTTCAAAACGCGTTACGATGTTGTTTATCGTATATTGATGTTACTCAGCGAGATAACGTCTACGATTGTTAAAAGTACGATAAATTGGCAAATATCAGCTTACTTATCAATGGTACCGTTATTCCATTATTGAAATAGCGTTGGGTAAATATAAGGCAGCTGAGCAGTAGATGCACTAAATCGCTGACATGGTACGTACGAAAAATATTGCGATCTGTTACAGGAGAGTAGGTGTCCTATCAATGTTACTTGAGTTAGACCCAACATATAGCCGTTGTCGTAGCCTATAACGACGAATAGATTCAACTGAATTTTTGCGTTTTAAATACTATGCTTACAAATTGCACGCTTTATGGCGTCTGAAAGCTTAGAGGCTTTACACAGTTTTTAGCAACGCAGCTGATCCTCCCGCATAATCGACGTCCTTTGTTCCGAATCCTTTTTGCGTTGCTTTTGTATTTTCATGTCAGTCTGAGATTGGTGGTGGTCCGTATGCCGGCTGAACGTTCCCGTGTCCAGCAATCTGGTGGCCTTAATACGCGGCGAGCATGGTCAACGAGCAGGACTTACACTGAACATGTAAGACACGCTCTTGTCCAACTGAGCTAATGGTTGTTATGGTGGCGCTAAAGATGTTAAAGAGTTAACATTAGATCCCGCACGGCAAAGATTTAGCTGGCACGACCCATTCAGCCAGGCGTATTGATATGGCGGGAGATATGCTCTGACATCTCTAACTCTGTACCAGGGTCTGTACGTGTAAAGGGTCTTTGGTTTTTAGAGGTTTGGCCAGCACCAACTGAGGTAGCATATCCAAACACCGTTTTTGGTGATTATGCCCTTGCCTACCAGTAGCCATTTCGGCGAGACCGGAAACTTTATGTAATAGGCAACGCTTGAGCATCAGGCTTTAGTGAGACAAAGAGCATACGCCATTATTTAATATCTGTGCCGGCCAGGGTTCCACTGCTTCATCGCTTCTCCTACGCGGACGTTGATACTTACCACAGCTTCTATAGGCAATAAGTAGACCTGACATCCCCTATAGTCAAAATGTACCCTGGAGCATCTTTCTCAGCTATGACAGTACACAGGCAATAATAATAACAGTAAGTTTAATAATGGTGATTGCTAATCAACTGGAAACCAAATAATTATCTAGAGTACAGACAAGCTCCAGAATTAATCGGGCGAGGCAAGTTTACATATATATATATATGCGTGTGTGTGTCTGTGTAGTTTAATAAAAGTTGCTCAGTGTTAATGAAAACGACAAAAATGGGCGACAAATCTAGCTTCATCTATATACAGCCTACCATATGTCCCTTCTTGATACTTTATATAGAGGGAAAAGTACCAACTGTATGTGCATACAACCGACACATTTTAGTATTATGGTACAGGTAAGCAAAGCTTCCGCTGACTAGCGAACATTCTAGCAGTTATGTCGCTTGGATTTGATACAAAAGTTATGTTTCAAAAATGCGCAGAAACAGGACATATATTCCTAATAAGTTTGGGCTCCGGAACCGAATTCAGCTGCATTTGCCCGTTGCCCGTTGCTGCATGGCCCGAAGCCAAGAGAACAAATGTCTAAGACGCACATGACAGGCGAACATTAGGTACACTATAGCAGTCTTTTTCATGTACACAGGATGTCTTGATGTAATATAAATGTTTTTTCTTTTCAAATCTTCGTATTGGTGCCTTTTTAAGTTCGAAGAAGGACGTGCTCAGGAATCCAAGCACTAACCAGCCGCCAACAAATACAAAGCATCATATACGTAACTGGAGGAAGAATACGATATGTCGGATCCATCTGCATCTGTCTGTCCAACTGGAATCCTCAATCGGTCCTGATACTTTTTAACCGCTGGTCCTAATAGTTGCCACAATGTTATTCAACATGCTACCCGTTCACTGTGACTCTACAGGTTAAGTTAGCCGATGCCAGATTGTATGCCGCGAGGAAGACTTCGATTGGCACAGCCTGAGTCCGCGTAATGGCAAGCACCATATGTGCTGGGCATATGCTATTGATGCGAACGAATTGGGCCAACAGATACACTAATCGTCCATCGACAAAGGCTCCGGTCGTATTCGCCGTCAGGATAATGTTGCAGAAAAGTGGATTGCCCACCAACACCATCTGTCTCCCCTTGGCCCTCCCTCGTCGACTAGTTGTAGAAGCGGTATTGTCACTGCCTGGTAAACAATACGCGTATGCCGCTTCTGCGCTAATGTAGTAATGGCCTATAAATCTAAGCGCTTAGTAGGATAATGTGCTAAAAAAAAAAAAAACTCACCTCGTATTGCAGATCGATCGCGATTGTTGACGAGGAAAAACGACAACATAAACAGCAGCGACAGGGTATCCATTGTCAAATGTCGTTCAAGTGTATATTACTATTATCGTATTTGATAGCTGCCATTAGAGCGTTGATACTTGTTGTTGTTGCTGTTGGTAACTATGATAATCAACTTGTGTTAGTTTGTTAGTAATAAATTTTTATTGCCTCGCAGTTCGCCTGTGATTACACAATTACCGTGAGTCCGGATAATGGCAACGCATTACTGCAACACTCAGCAACAATCGCAGCATAAATCAGCTCCAGCAACGAGGCGTTAATACTGGTTTCCCGTCAATGTCTGGTAAAAGCTAGCCGTATACACAGATATAAGAAGACTTTTGCCGTCTTCTTATATCTGTGTGTTCCATGCTTGTCCGCAGTATTTGAACACATTGCTTTCGCAAACGTTGCTTATAGAATTCAGCTTTTTTCTTTCGTCATACGCAAAGCGTTGCCAAGCGATCGTTATAAAGTTACAGTGGCAGCAGTAACAACAACCATTGGAGCATTGGTACCGCTGCTGCCATCTGCCCTAGTTTGGAATACGGACGGGTTCACCACCGAACTTAACTGCACTTTGACGCTGCGCTGCTCACAACACTTCCACTTAGCTTTCTACTTAAGTTGTAAAGGAGAGGAAAAACTAGGATTTTGGCGGGATACAGGAACCCACCAAAAAGCCTGATCCCTTTTCACTTGTAACGACAACTTAGAGAATCGAACGGAACACCATCTACAAACGTTTGCTACGGTGTTACCATTTTTCTATGCGATCCTGCTCTAGCAGACCTGACCGGTTGTTGTTAGCCTGCCTGCTATGGTAATACCAGCCTAGGTCTTGTCAAATAGATGATAAACATTTATTTAATAAGAGGCATTAGTGTACCAAAAATGACCAGAACGTACTCGTAAGGCAGGGAAAAGTGTAGGTGTACCTTCGTTAAGTGGACCAGGGATTCCAAGAAAAATTTAATTAGTCAGATAGTATGGATGGTCCGAGCTTTCTCCTATACAAAATGCATCGTCATTGTAAAAACTCTTATGGGTTCGAAGCATGAATGATGCGAGAGTGTGCGAAACGCGATCTCTGATATCGTTGATTATCTAATCGCCCACCATTTCTGAATCTGAATCTACGCGCCTGCATTAGCGAACTTTCCTGGAAAACTAAAATGATCTTTATTAACACCTGCAGCGAAACACGGCCGCGTTTTCTTCCCAGCGTACAAGATATATGGCACTTAGTTCGACGTTGTCATGTGAAGTATTGCCCAGAAAAAGAAATTTTCAATGAGCTTCACGGACGTTGCTATCATTGTTGTAGATGACGAGCGATGAAATTCAATGAATTTGAAGTAATGACGTTTCGGCGTATTGCCTTTATCTGTGGTTATGTTACTTGCAGGCACAGGATATGGTAAACAGAATGTAGAAGGTTGGATAAGGTAGGCGACAACTACCACTGCTGTTATGCTGCCATTATATCGTTACATCTTAATTATTTCGAGATCTTGCCACGTAGATAAATTTAAGTCATCGAATGCTTAGCTGTGTGTGGTTATATGACTATCTATGTGAGACATACACACATGGTGATTATTAAAATTGATTACGTATGATTATAACTAAGTTAATAGTTGTATGTATATATGTACTCTATGTGTTTTCGTATACGCAACAACTAGAGTGAATCCGTCATGGAACGGTGAAAAGAGGCGCTGGCGAGGCGACAGAGAGGAAACATTGGTGTCGTTGAATCCCTAAAACAGGTAAACTTTTACCACAGTCGGATATCGTGCCTCCCAAGCACCCTCGGTCGCTATATAATTTTGAAGTTTTTTGAAGTGGTGGAGGCGGCTACACTGGGCTCAGGCAAGCCGTTTAAAAGGAGACCGGTCGCTAGTAGATCAATGTTAATTAGG